TGATGGTCAGTAAAAATGGATGTTTCTTCCGGAGACAATATCTGTGTCACATTGACATGGTCTGGAGCATTTGTGATAACAAGGTCTAGTATGTTATTTCCGCATGTAGGAGTGTTGTTGAGTTGAAGTAGATCATGATCATCCAGTAACTCAAGGAAGGAAAGTTCGTTAATACCAGCGGCTTTTTCTATCGATCTCCATGGGATGTTTGGAAGATTGAAGTCTCCCGCAATTACAACGTTTTCGTAGAGGTCACAGATTGTATCCAGAAAGATCTTAAATTTATCCATCCAACCCAGGTCAGCACTAGGAGGACGATAGCAACAACAAAATAGAATTTTCTTGTCAGTAACAGTTCGCAATTCAGTTGATACGATTTCTAAATCTTCAAATTCCTCTCCATTAGGTGAGAACTCCTTCACAGATTTAAAAGAATCCGTTTTTATCGCTACAAGGACTCCGCCACCGTATCGGTCTTTACGATCTTTTCTGTAAATGGTGAATCCGGAATGCAAAATTTCCTCATTAGATATAGAATTATTCAACCATGTCTCGTTCACACAAATAACATCAGAGTTTTCATTATATACAAGGTTTTGAAAGTGCTGAAGATTACAAACTGGCTGATTAGACACTTCATCTCGGTTACAGGAATGCAAGAATCGCCAGCTCAGTTATTAATGAGTCGCATGCTAAAGTCGAAGTTCCCTACGACTACGGCCCTCCTTCAGCCCAAAGTTCAAGAAAATGTTCGTGAAAAACTTGAGCAACGTGCCGAGAAGCAAAAAAGAGTACTTCGACAGAAATGCAAAGCCATTGCGACCTGTAAAGATGTATCAGTCTGCCCGAATTCGAAGAGGAAAGGTGTGGGAATCAGCAGTTATAACAGGTATGCATAAAGCACCTAGATCCTTCATTGTAACCACACCACAAGGTGGAGTGTATCGTCGTAATCGCAGACATTTATTACCCACTAGTGAGCCTCCACCTAACAATTTAGGACCAGACTACGATGAAGAAATTGTTATGCCTGAGCCTAGACCAAATAACGTTGTTGACCCACAACCTGTAAGGCGCACCAGCAACCGCGCAGTTAGATTGCCTGAACGACTCAGGAATGACTATGTTATGGAATGACTATCTTAAGCTGTTTACATTTATAAACATTAATATTGTTGTTGTGTTATTTGGAGTATTGCAGTTCTTGCAAGATGCTCGGTGTTATGAAGTGTGACCTTTACTGAACAATTGAAGCCAACTAGCTGTTGAACAATATGTAGCTTTAGTAAGAAAGGGAGATGTCATAATTATGTTAATTTATGATAAGCACATGATCATGATTAAAGATTGTTGTTGAACATGGCGACGTGTGTAGTGTATAATATGACAAAACACTTTAATATTGTCTTTACCTGTCTGACGCTAGGTAATAGCGGTTCATGATCTATAATTTCTACATCTGCAACCATGGCTGCTAATGAATTTGATTCTCGATTGGCCCAGGGAGCAATAAATGCATCAACTAACTTATTCGCCGTTGACTCGAATTCCATTTCCATTGTATGTATTGCTGTAGAGGACTGTTTTTCGGCTCCACATAATGAGTAAATACATTCAAACCACTTCCTTGGATTAGAAAAGCGGGTAGAGCTTGCTTTATTCTCATAGTACCTTCTTTTAGCATTTGTAATTAGATTAGCAACTTTAGCACAAAGTTTCCTATACTCATATTTATCTCCCTTAGTAAATGCTTTTGGTCTTGCTCTAATTTGAGTCTTGATATAGGGCATCATTCATTCTTTATCGTTTGGGTGCATACATACACCCTGAGTATAGGTGCCCAGTATATTTCCGATGATTTTATTAAAACATTGTGCCTTATCATCCACATCGTTTGCCTCATAGACATCCTCCCAATTTTCCAGATTGAGCACAAGACCCAACAGTGTTATATTTTTAGGGTGTAAGTTTCTCACAGATCTTGTTGTTGCTTTACTTTGACTTTCCTCATTTAATGGTGTAAACAGGACACATTGGTGGTCGGATCGGCCCAGAGGAGGGAAACGTTGCACTTTATTGTAAAGTTTTTCGTGAGGAGTTGGTCCAGAGCATTTGAGCCGCGGGTAGGAGCAAGAACTGCCTTTTGTAGATTGAATCTGAAATTTTTGCTGTTTTTGAGGTCCTCCAAACTGCATTTTAATTCTTTGTTTTTGTTCTCCAGGGCCTCCAATTTCTCCATGAGAATCTCATTCTTTTCACTTAACTCGATTCGAAGTCGCTCTTTTGCTTTCTTTACATTGAATGATTAACGTCCCCTGTAACTACTATAGCTGCTGATGGTCTTTCCTTGAGTATAGAGTCAAGACATTTACTTATATATTCGGTGAACTCTTTGGCTTCATTTCCAGACATGCTCGGGGGAAAATATATTTATTATTTAGCTGTAAGGTTTTCGCATTCTGGTTGGGTTGTGTATGAGCCAAAGCACTTCCATATTATTTGTCTAAGATGGTGGAGTCTCATGGTTGGTATAGAGTTATGTACATAGGCTAGGATGCCGCCCTCAGGAGTTGGTCTGTCTTTGCAATATATATTAAAGGATTTTCCAATATTTACCCCACAAGGGGGATACAATCTGATAGCCAGGATTCTGTTACAATGTTGATGTCAGCGTTATTTAATTCAATGACACTGGCAAGTTCATCAATTTTATTTGTTATGTGACATGCGTTGATTACAAGAAACAAAGGGAGTTTTGACTTTGGAGCCACTGTTAATATAAAGACAATTTGGAGGAGCATGACCCCCCTAAACTTATCACTATCATAGTTCATTTTATCATAGGCACTTTTGGATCGGCTGGTAATACGATTTGTCAATAACATGAGATGTACATTGGTCATTAACATGGATTACACTAGCCGACTCATTAACATATTCATTGTTCATCAGATTTTCACAGCAATTCGGAAATTGTATATTACTGAGCAATGAGAAATCCTCGTTAGTTGAAGTGTCAATAAAACTCAGATTGTTAGTATCCAGATTAGTCGATTGGTCAATAACATTAGATGTACATTGGTGATTAACATGGATTACACTAGCCGATTCATTAACATGTTCATTGTTCATATGGTCATAATAGATTACTTTTGGAGTCAAATTTTCAATAGAAGATAGTTTAGACTTAAATTGTCTTCAGAAAGTTTGCAAATTACATCACCCTTCCAAGTGTAATTCTATAAACAAAGCAATTATCACCTTATTAATCTGTGCAGTTTTGATGTTGGTGAAAGAGCATGAAATGCAGCACCATATAGTTGAGTTTCAGAACAATTAGGAAGACAGATTTTGCACGAACGCTTCCTGGAATATAGATGTTTGTGTAATGTCATTTTATGTAAACAAAAGCAATTACCACCTTATTAATCCTTGCCGTTTCGATGTTGATGAGCTTGTGCCCCAATTTACTGTACATCATTGGAAAAAGTATCAAATACTGCACAATATAGTCAAGTTCGGGAACAATTGGGAAGAGAGATTTTGGGGCAAGCGCTTGCTGAATATAGATGTTTGTGCACTGTAATTCTATAAACAAAGTAAAGCAATGATAACCTTATTAATCCTTGCCGTTTTGACGTTGGTTGGTGAGCTTGTGTCCCAATTTGCTGTACATCATTACAAAGAGCATGAAATAGTGCATAATATAGTCGAGTTTGGGAACAATTGGGAAGACATATTTTGTGCAAACGGTTGCTGAATATTGATGTTTGTGCATTGTAATTCTGTAGTCTGGCATTTAACATATACAAAAAGGTAATTAGCACTTATTAATCCTTGCGATTTCCACGTTTCTGAGCTTGTGCCCCAATTTACTGTAAATTTTTGGGAAGAGTATGAAACGCTGCACAATATAGTTGAGTTCAGGAATAATTGAGAAAACAGATTTTGAATAAACGCTTGCTGAATATAGATGTTTGTGAAGTGTAATGCTGTGGACAGAAGCAATTAGCACCTTATTAATCCTTGCCGTTTCAACATTGGTGAGCTTGCGCCCCAATTTACTGTACATGATTAGAAGGAGCATGAAATAGTGCACAATATAGTTGAGTTTCAGAACAATTAGGAAGACAGATTTTGTGCTAATGCTATGGATGTTTGTGCAGTGTCATTCTATAAACAAAAGCAATTACCACTTTATTAAACCTTTCCATTTTGACATTGGTGAGATTCTGCCCCAACTTGCTGTACATCATTGGAAAGAGCTTAAAATACTGCACAACATAACTAAGTTTCAGAACAATTGAGGAGGCAGATTTTACACCAGCGCTTGCTGAATAGTGATGTTTGTGCATTGTAATTCTGCATAGTGTAGCATTTAACATATACAAAAAAGTAATTAGCACTTCATTAATCCTTGCAATTTCAACATTTGTGAGCTTGTGCCCCAATTTACTGTACATCATTGGAAAAAGCATGAAATACTGCACAATATAGTCGAGTTTCAGAACAATTAGGAAGGCAGATTTTGCGAATACTTGCGGAATATAGACGTTTGTACAGTGTAATTCTATAAAAAAAAAGCAATTACCACTTTATTAACCCTTTCTGTTTTGACATTGGTGAGTTTGTTTTCCAATTTGCTGTACATCATTGGAAAGAGCATGAAATACTGCATAACATAATTGAGTTTGGGAACAATTGGAAAGTCAGATGTTGTGCAAACGGTTCAGGGTCCGAATTATCACTATAAAACAGCTTTGCTTTCCCCCCCCCAAAAATTCACGTTAAAATGCACATTTTAAGACACCCCCTCCCGATTTTTTTGAGCATCACAAAAAGCCAAAAAAGGATATGTGGTGCATGCAACGATTTTGCTAAGGCATTTCGAACATGATTGCAATCATTTCACACTGGATAAAGCACTACATTCTGCAAAAAAATCAAACGCTTCCATAGTAAAATTGAAAATTCTAAAAATATGCATGCTCTTGCATCTGTATAAACATTTAGACAACCTGTGACATATTGATTACTTCATGGTTTGATGAGTGCATTCGATTTTTATTCATGAATTGTGAAATAATAATCTTTCACAACAAGTAAATAACTAGGGATCCAAGGATAGTGCCATGTTTCTGAAAACTTGAAAAGTCATTACGGTAATATCAAATCTTTCAAACATATTGTTCATAGTTTTGCAATTCATTTGTCCAAATGATGCGGTTCGCGAATGCAAAACTGTTGCAAATTTATTTTGTTGTAAATTACCGGTAAGCTTGAAGTAGATGAAATTTTGAACTTTTAGAGGAACTTTTGAACTTATTACAGCCATTTCCGTCCAACCATACCACAAGTCGCAAAAATTTCCGAGCGTTTGTTTACGTTTGTGATGTAGCTAACAGTAGCTGCCGGAAGCTACATTTTTAATGTCTTACATGGATGTCTCAATCGCTTATATACGTAACACAGTATCAAAAAATTAGTTTTGTTGATATCCCTGTATATTATTTTGTAGCATCTCAATTTATTTAATATACAGAACGCAGACAAAATTATACTTACGATAAGATTAGGCCGATAATTTCGGCCACATCACACATTAGTTGCCAAAACAGTAAATTTGCCAACTTGGCAACTTTTTATAAATGTAAACATTGTCATTGACAATTGACATTGTATTGAAATAAATGTAACACGATGACCTACGAACTGTACCTAAGACATAATAAATTTTAATCTTGAATTCAATTCAATTTATTGAAACAAAGGCTTTGTTATTAAAAGCTAGTATATCTCGATTAGTATTATGCCAACAGCAAACTTCGTGCTTGTTATTATCCTTTTACTTCAATTACGGCACAAAAACCAAATATCTTAGTATCTCTCATACATTCATGCAAGTCATACATAACTATCCATATCAATAAAACTCATTGCGGCTGTCTGCATGTGCACAGGCTACAATATGCGGGCCTTGAATAAATGAATAATTAAAATATTACAAAAAATTCTGTCAAATTCTGCGACACCTATTGATGGTATACCATCTGTTCACAGACTGTATATACTATGAGAATGTATATGCTATGAGACTATACAGCACGCAAGTTATATTTTTATATCAGAAAAATGCTGTTTTTATATGACTATGCTTTTATTGCAGATTAATTTTCATATAAAGATAGATTAGGGTTGAAATTATAGATTTAATATAAACGAGCGTGCTATAAATGTGGAACCAGAGCTGTAGACAAACATTTATATATAGACATGATATTGCATGTTATACTGCACAGGGATATTATATTTCATGTTATTTATAAAATAACGTGTCTGCCTATGCTGGCTACAGTCATAGAAAGAATAAAATATAGTTGTACAACTAAATTTCGTGACATAAATTGAGCTACGAGATTTAAATTGAAATATAAGAAAATCATAAATAGAAATGCAAAAACTCGGGCCTCGTATGAAATGCAGTGAGTTGAAGCCCCGAAATAGAGTCTAAAATTGCATAGAAATAATACATACCCATGTTAAATCATTTGCCCAAGGCCTGTTCTAAAATTTCGACCAGCACTCATACGCATTGTCATATTTATTTGTGCGTGCTGATTTTGCTGACTTGCAGTTCTCACGAAAATTTGATGATACGGGGGGTGCTAATGGCACAAATCCCCATATTTGTTATCTCAGTAAACTTTTAACATTGCTGTAATGTAGATAGACGTTTAAACATTGATTGTCAAGCTAAATCAAATTTAAGAAATTTTACTGTTGCTATAAATACCGTTTTAACGTTAAAAATTCTCCAACCTTGAAGTTTTTTTAGATATGGCATTGAGATAACATTTGTAACTCCCCCCGGAAAGTTTACTCTATGTATCTCTCGCTTGAATTTCGCCACTCATCACAATAGTGCAACGTTTCCATGGAAACATTGCACTAAAAATCGTACAAACGAGACAAACATGAAGTAATTTGTTTATTATATATATAATAAACTGTGATAAATCGACAAAAAGGACTTTGTAACAGTGGCTAATTGGTAAGAAAGTCAATCGATTTGAATCGTCCAAGAACAAGTCAAATGTGTTTACAAAAACTGTTTCAAAAAAGTGTAGTTCAATCTGATCAGAATCGCTCAGAAGTTTTAAACGTTTGTATGTTTTTGGTGGGCTATCCACATTTGTTATAGATAGTGTTGGAGACTGCTTGAGAGTGTTTATTGATATATTTATACTCCCTCCACTTATCATTGCATTCGAAAACAGTGCCGGCATAGCACGTTGTTCTTGGACTTTTTGTTCGCTTGTCGTTTTCTGCCTGTTCATCGACGAGTGAACTCAAACCCTGAGTTTCCAGTGGTCAAGTTAGACAAATTACTCAGCTTTCCAGTGGCAACTGAACTGAGAGTTCTTGACATTTCCATTTGCTGCGACTCATTGACAGTGGAATAATGAGTAACACTTTGCAGGTTCTTGTGGCCCCGACGGTTGAATAATGTCTGTTGGTGGAAAGTTTTGTTTTACCAAGGCCTGCATCATTGTTTTCCTTCCGCTGTGGTTGGTAAATTTGGTAGTAAGTCCAGCTTTCGCAGCCATGTTCTTCATTATCAAATTTAGTTTATTAACCCTGGCTGGGGCTTTTTTGAGCTTTACATGAAACAGATTCAGGTTTCTTTAAATTGTTTACAGCAAGAAAAAATGGGCTATTGTCGCTGTCCATTTCTGCCGGATGTTTTTCTGCAAAAACTTTATACACTGCAATAGGATCTCTTTCATTTCCTGGTAGAGAAAACATTCTTGGAGTTACTTTTTGCACATCTCTGGTGTCTTGCCCCGAGCATGTTTTCGTTTGCCTTTCGCTGTATTCCAAATATTCCTCGCCACAGACCGTTTTATGTAATTTCACATCGCCCCAAGTCATATTGCGATGCTCTTTACAGCCAGGTAATCCAAAGTGTATTGTATTGTTGAACCAAAGAGTGTTCAGTAAAGCATCGGGACTGGATGTGCCCAGCAACTCTTTTTCATACAAAACAGCTATGTCGTCTTCGCTGAGAGCAGACAAAGCATTCGGTTTATTTCCTTTTTCCTGTTGCTTTAAATCCTTTTGTTTTGAAAGCAAAGCTTTTCGAGTCTCTTGAAACTGTAGGTCTTTCATGATATTTAAACCATAGTTTTTCTTTTTTAAACATCTTTTGAAGCTGGCTACCATACTGCACAAGGAATTTGGTTCGTAATCCTTATTTTGTTTTGTACAAACCTTAATTATAAACTCACTCAGGTAAAGGTTTAATTCTGCAGAAGGAATGTCCTCAATGCTTCTAGTTTCATTCTTGGTACCAAGAAACTGATTTAATAATGATAGATTTTTGTTCAGTTTTTCTCTTTGTGTTTTCATTTTCCTGTTGTTCGTTGAATTTGCTGACAGAAATGTCAAGGTCTGCAAAACGGGAAGCCATTAATATTTCGAAGCGATTGACTGAACAAAGCGTTGGCCTGTAATTGGCGGGAAAATTCGATACTTTTTTTCACATGTGAGAAAAATCGTCCGTGATCTCTGATTGGTCGGACGATTTTTTTCACATGTGAGGAACATCGTCTCAATTATGCAATGCGTTGTAGATGAGTTTTAACTTGGCACTTACCGAGTGAATATTACGGTATGTATATAATAAAAGTAATTATCGAAACAATGTTACCATGTGCTCAAGGTCAAAATGTTACGTTTTCGTTTTTCCCCTGAATAAAGGCTGTATTTTTCACACGTATACATACAGAAAAGTTTAAACCTTTCTAAATTTTATTTAAGTTCTACCTACCTCAACAACTGAGCCTTTAAATAGATCACAGAACTAAATGCAGGCCTTTTATTCATTTGATTATTTTATAAGAAATTTTAAATGGTTAAAAATTTTCCATGCATGTACGCACGCACGCATATGAAAAAACGCTTAACTTGAAAGCAGCCTTAACAACACTAAATTTCAATCAATAAACATTGCTAAAGTCAAGGAATTGCTGTATTTATACAGTTTAAACCTTAGGGATACTTCACAATTGAGAATGTGTCCCCGCGATTATACAGGTCTATTATCATTGTTTATACAGCTATACACTGTTTAAAATTCCATGATTTCTATCTTCTTTGAATCGCTAAGATGTAAGTTATATAATTTTAAACAGTGAAGCAAATGGCTAAACAATGAATTGTCATTCTCACCGTTGACAGCTGTGATGTCAACCTTAAAACAGAAGCACAGAACTCGGGAGATGCTCGACACAAATGAAATGAAAAGTGAGATGCTCCACACAAATGAAATGAAATAGAAGAAAGTGAAGATTTCAGTGAAATGGAAGAAAGCTGGATCTCTTTTTTGCTTGCCTCGGTTCAGCTCTATCGACGACCTTTTCCATACATCTCCTTTTTCGCACGAGAATAGAATTCACTCTGTGTGAAGTGCCAGCACCGGTCAACGTGCTTTCCAAATTATCAATATTATCAGCCAACATTAACGAAACAGGTGAGTTATCACATTTCATTGCTTCATCAGGGATGACAACTCGCATCTCCTTCTGCTCATTTAAGACTTTCAACGCATGTTCTGTCTCAATTTCCTCAATAAGGTCATAGCTTATTCCATGGCCATGACGATTAATAAGTCTAATCACTTCGGTATTGTTACACAGCGATTTAACAACCACTGGGAAAAGAACACTTTCGGGTGTTTTGATATTTCCATTAGAGATGATATAAATAATGTCTTGGCGAATTGAGTTAGAGAGTCGAACAACCTTTTCATTTTTCTTCCGTTCACTTTCCATGCTTGCACCCGAGAACAGGACAGTACAAAACATATCCAAGAGATGAGGGATGTACTTCGGCAACATATTTGGTTTAAGATCGTCTTCTTTTGGGGGCCAATACATCTGTGGTTGCATTGCTTTAACTTCATTGTTTAAAATTTTGGCAACTTTAATAATGTCTTTGCTTTCCTTATCCAAGTTCTGACAAGAATCAATTTCACACTTAAGTTGGTAATTGCTACAGATAGCGTCGTCCATACTCAATGTGCTTGGGTAGACCAAAACTTTGTTATTTGACAGGTAAGCAAACTTAAGCTCTAAGTTAAATCTGTTAGACAACTTTCGAACGAGATTTTTAAATTGGGATGGCATAACTTTAACACCAATTTTCTCCGCCTCTGCGGACATTAATTCCTTGATAGTTTTAAGTTCAACAATTCTTGGTGATTTTATTAAATCAGAACAAAATGAAAATAGTGATTCATAAACTTGGTTAATACAAGCGCCGCTGGCGTCTTCGACATATTCATCTGTTTTTGCAGCGTCCACGTTTTCCATATCTGAGTATGCAATGCAGACGAATAGTTTATAGCATGATGCATGATACTTTGCTTCACTCGAAATAAGGTCTTTGCAGCATAATCCAAGCACTTCTTGGGCAATGACACTCAACTCTGAGCATGCTTTGATGTGTAATTTTGCACTTCTTCGGACTTTATCATCTGTGCGAAATGCCATACAACTTCTTTTTTTCTCCCTTGTGGAACTTCTCGACTTGTACTTATCCTTTTTGCAGAAAATACAACGATCTGGTAGTACGGCTGAACTAGGCTTTAGTGTATCTCGTGAACTCCTTCTCTGAGATGAATGTTGCTGAGGAAGAGGTTCAGAAAGCTGTTTAGGAGGAACTTTAGAAAGCTTCAACAGATCTTCTTATGCGTAAAAGTTGCTCGACATGAACGGTGATATCTCACAGGAAATTCGGGTAAGCCATTCTCTCCGACAGTTACATCCAAGAGTTTTTTGTGTCCTCTTATTTGTGCAGCATGGAGGAACGTCTCCCATGAACTGACCGTCCCTGCATTCACTCAAATCTGAATCTCCTACACCACATATAATGCAACATTGAATTGAATGCTCAGCCATCGCAATCTTGATCTTATAAAAACTTGATCTTGTGATCTTGTGAAAACTTTTTTTGGAAATGCATTATACATTACATATAATCATACACCGTTTGAATTGAATTATCTGCAGCAATTGCAGAGTCTTAATTTATAAACTTTGCCGATGAAACAGTACATTGCATGACAGGACAAAAACAAACGTAAATAATGAAATACAGTAGGTACATGACCACGGCTGGGTGACCGCAACAGCGAATGCAAATTCTTTTTGGCAATATGTCATACACTACATGTAATAAATATGTTGAAACGTGAAATAAACTTTGTTGTTGTACTTTTTGTTGAAATACATTCCCACCTTTTTTGTTGTTGCGCTGGCATGAGATCTGGGCTCTAGGGTAGATTTTTGCATTTCAAGATGGCGGAAAGTTGTTTACTTCGTATTTCGAATCAATTCAAGAGATATAATATCAAAACGAGATAATGTCTGGCATGAATTCGACTTTGAATCAATGAATTCTATCACAAAAAGCGTCAAGTTGTGAGTTCTTATCACTATACATGTTTTGAATCGTTATTGTGTGCTATAGAAGATCGATATATTATTGAAACTATATTAAACAATACAATACAATTTCATTTAACCTTTATTAAAATGTGAAAATTTTATAAGTACAGTAAAATGATATATTGAAATTAGTATACAAGTCCAATAAAAATATTTATAAAGTATTTATAAATGTTTAAAGAAGAAACTTAATATTTTAAAAATTAATAATATTTTAAGAAAAAAACAAAATGGCAGCAGATACTTACTCAATAGAAGTGAAAATATGTTATAAGGCTGTACGAATAACTTGTCCATCATATGTTTTTATAATTTCCAATAAGTAAAGAAAAAAACTTTGTGGTTTTTACTTGGTCCCTGTGTGTGACACATTTTTATGAAAAATCAGCTCTCAGCTGATAGACTAATATCAGTAACTGCATTATATTGATTTGTGATAGCATGAACCCCTACAAACTCACCATCATGTGAAACATCATTGTCAAATGAAACATCACTATCACCCAAAACTGCACCTACACCATCTGCATCTACAATGTCACAACATGCAACCTTAACATGACCACTATCCTCAACTATCTTGTCATGCACAACAACACCACTAGCATGACCAACCACCTCAGGTAAATCCTTAGCAACTACACCACAAAGCAAATTTCCCCCATTTTCCCCACTGACAACATCAATCATTCTATCATTAATATCATTTGACACTCCATCACAAGGTCATCACTAATTACTTGAACCTGTGACATAATGGGGTTGTTTGATGCATCATTAAGTTGATGAACTACCATGTTTCCATTTCCATCTTCTATTTGTAATCGCAAGATGGGAAGATCAGACTTCTCCAAACATTCTAGCCAGCATTTTTTTAAGTATGACTCTTCTGACTTAAATGAACTGGATCTAAAATGATGAAGCAAAGGGCCTGCTTCCGATGATTCAACATTTCCTTTTGCATCAAAGAAATTAATGTCACCATTATCACTTTCATTCCACCAAACACCTTTACCAAGCTAAAAGATAGTCACTTATCCTATCCAGATGTGCTTGCCAAGATGAAGAACGGTTCACTAGCATATCCCTGGGTATAATTGTGTTGGGAAAGCTTGGCAATGAAGATGCTAATTTGGATACATGGGTTTGTTGCTTCTCAACGGAAGGGACATTATGGTTTGTTGAAAGATCTTTCTCAGCTTGAAGACAAACCAGTATATTCGAGATGATATGGTCTGCACAAAATGAAGACGTAGTGTGGGTAATGTTTGTGATAGCATTGAATATGCGTTCTTGTTCCTCAGTATTAGCAGATCGACTGCTAATAAGGCGGTTTTGGATGGGTGCATGTGATGTAATGTTATGAAAGTATGTCCCATACAACTTATGTACAGTTAATTTTTTCAATTGAAAACCAATCACTGTCCAACACAGCATTGCATGGTACCAGTGAGGTTATGCATCCAAAGAACTGATTTTGGGGTTCGTTGAGCTTCTGAATTGTATGCTATTTCTTGAATTTCCACAAGCAACAATTGAGCCTGTGAACCTATCTTGCCCCTGATATGATTTGAAATCAACATCAGAGCACATCGATAATCAAAGGCCCTTTTTGTTTCTTTTCCCCCTATGCAGAACTCAATAAGAGCATTCAATTCAGAAGCTTCCTTTTCAGGAATGTGTGAAGGAAGCTCTGTTAGAATATTCTCGATGTGATGGCTGATGTCATGGAGGGGTTCAAACCCCAATATCTCGTAATCGCTGCAGTTAATTTCATCCAGCGGAAGATCAGGATTGTGATACATCAGAGCGGAACCCGCTGAACACCATGCAACTCTTCTTTGAGTAAGTTACGCAGTTCCTCTTTGGTGTTTCCCTCATATATGCCCCTAGTAGATAACTCCCTAATTAACTCATCCTTGGTTAGATCTTCGAAAGGCTTATTTATCTTCTGAAGAGAATATTTCTTTCCATATGGACCTTTTACTACAAGGTCTTGCCTATCTGCTAGAGACATATGTGAGCAGTGAAAAGCGTAGTCCATCTCATAGACACGATTGGCACTTGCTCCACAGATTGCACAGTAATAATTACCTCCTTTCTGTTGACAACATTCGTACTGTCGAGCAGGGGTATAGCCGTGAAAAAATCTCATCTTGTCATTTACTTCAATGATTTTGATGTTAATGGCTCTGACAGATCTTGCAAGCATTCTAGCCTAGTTTCTACATAACACAATTGCTCTTTATCTGATGATGAAGACCTTGCTATTATGTAGACACTAGGCATTTCCACTTTTGTTTGAGTGCTCATCCTTTTTCCTGTCAACTGTTCATATTCATTGTCTGTATAAAAACAAGCAGGATCATATCAACCGGCTACCATGAATACAACAAGATCTGAATGATTTGCCACTGTTGATAAATCATGCCAGATCATGAGATGCCTTGTTCACTCCATATCTTTGAGCCACTGTCTCATTTCTTCAACATCCTCACCATCTTTCATTTTGTGTAACTTATGCAGCCTTTCTGCAATATCTGTACTAGACATCGCATCTAGGCTATCATCTGTATTTGCTCTCATGTACTCTTTTAATTCTTCTAGTTTTTGTTCCCTGACTTCACACAGTGGACATTTGCAGCCTTCAACAAAGAAGTGGGTCTTGATAATGGAGCCATTGTTATCAAGCACAAACTTACGTACTATATTTAAGAAAGATGAAATTAACTGAGTGATGAATTGGCATGGTCAGGTGATAGGAAGCCAAACTTAGGTATGAAATATTGCACATAGCACACTAGCTATAGTGTATTCTATAATTATTATTCTTTATTGTGTACTAGCTGTAGTTTATTCTTGGCCAGGCAGGTGATACTTGTTCTGGCACATTTCACCTGTATGTTTGCTAATTAAACCATGAAGCGTGCCATCGCTCTCCCCTTGACGAGGAAAATTACCTGGAGTCAACAGAGTAAAGTAAAAAGTAGGGCGCATCAGGGCGCAATGTGACTCAATACTATCGACACATGGCCAGATAGGTCAGATAATCCATTTAGTGCCAAAGCACTTTCCTTTGACAATTAGCAAAATTTTCCGGTGTTAATATATTAATAATAAATTAGGGCGCAATATGTGACTCAATGGGTTGAAGAGGTCATGCATGAGTATTTTATGTTCATGCACCTTACCCCTTCAACCTTGCCCACATTACATGTAGTGAATTATGTACCCCTGAGACCCCTGCCACAGCTTTTTTCTCAGAGGTACATCACCTTGCTCAGCTCCCCCTTTAATTTTGGACACCCCTCGTCGATCCCCAGAGCAAAATCTGCCTATGGCCACATATTAATTTCCATCCTTGGTATGACTGGCTTGACCTGGTGGCAAGGTGAACAAAATCTTTGGGGAAATTAAATTTCATTATAAATGTGGTATTCATTAAGTAAACCTACTTGTCATGGAACAATAAGCTCTCCAACATTTTACTCTCCTGACAGTATTTTTTCATTTAACTTCTTCTTCAATGACTCATTTGTCACTGGCATGGTACAGTAATCTCCCCACCAGCACCTTCGTTTCATCCTTTTCCTGATGCAACCACCATCTGCTTGTCCCATCTTCTTATATTTTTAAACATCCACACCTTGGGACTTGATGTATTCTTGAACAATTTGTCCACCGTTCTTTGCCAATTCCCCGTTCTTGTTTTTCACTTCGTATTGTTGTGCCAGTTCTGACCAATTGACCACAGTACTGTTCGTGTAGCCATTCACTTCCTCCAACAGAGCCTGTTTGTCCCATTGTATATTTTCAAAATTACCAACATGACTTCTTTTGACTTGATACCTGTACTTCGTTTCGAAATTTTGCTTCCTCGAAGCTTTCAAAGCACATGGCCAATCTTTCTCTCTGTCTTGCTGCAAGTGACTGCCGATTGCCATAACATCTAAATGATAGCAAAATTTTATTTATTTTGTCATATATACAGTAAATATTTTTGTACTGAAGCATTAATATTTTCAACTTTAATAATTACAGTTATAACCGTTATTATTGAATTAATAGGTACTTATTATTTTGATATTACATTTATTTTATTTCATTTTATTAAAATTTAAAAATGTATTATATTATTATACTATATTATATTATTTTTTATATTAAAAGTACGTGACTTGGTTACTGTTTAGTCTGTTTGTATATTAGTATTGTGTTCGACAATTACCTGACAACATCCATCTTAGTCCACTCAGCTTGTGTTGCCTGCTTGGACTTTTTATAAAGATGCCTTAGCACTTTCCTTTTTTCATTTTTTGTCTTTTTCTCTTCAATATTTAGCTCCTGTACGTTTACCAATGCCGCAGATAAAGGCATGTTACATGCGCTTTCAAAGGATGGGTTGATCTTGTGGTATATTGCACAGGCTGTCTCTACAGCTTTGCATTTACTTCAACCTCTTGAGCTTCCATGCTGGGGTATACTTGCGTCAATAACAGATAGTATTGATGAGGCTTCTGAGCGAGTGCTGCTAATGAATCGCGTTGATTGGACAGGAAACAGAGCTTGCACACCGACAAACCGATCTTGACATGCTTGGCAGTTTTGGAACTTATGCTGTACTTGCTGTGTTGCAGGTAAATTTTTCCAGCTTTTGCTGTTAAACATTGCGGTATACTGGTTCCGTTTGTGTATTTTACGGCTCCATCCTACAAATTTTTTCCGCAAGTCGGGGAGAATTTTAAGGAATCCGTTAAAATCAATTGTGAATTTCTCCTTGTAAGATGCGAAGACAGCATTGAAGCGGTTGAATCGCTCTGTAATTTGGCAAGATTGCTTGAGCTTCGTTCGGGTATCACTGTCGCCAAATTTCCAATCATCGTCAATTTTTTTAGATATTTCCCATGCAATACCTCTGGCAAAGCCACAGGTCTCTGGATGAATAAAGCTAAACACCATTATTATCAAAATCGCAGTCTTGTAATATTTATTAAACTTTCCTAATGTCACCTTTGTAGTCTGTGCTAGCTGGCTTGTAACTTCCAAACATTCCAACTGTCCCAGTTTACCCGGGACTGTCCCGGTTTGGACTATGTTGTCCCGGTTCTCTTCTTATTGTCCCGGTTTCTGTAGTATTTTAATAGTTGTATTCTTCAAATAAGGCTCATGTGACAAATATTAATGAAATTCGTTTGGTTCAATACATGTTAATGAAATGGGAGCTTCTAGTTGCCCCAAACAATTGCCGAGTTTGTCGCCGATCATTGTAATTCTCGTGACATATGTTGTTTTGACAATTTAGGGTTCGCTTTCAATTCCTATTCATTTTGCCAGGGCTACATGAACTAAGTGCTGTAAAGCAGCGTAACAGAAACGGGCGCAATAATCGTGGGCTCTTGAGGATCACAGTTCAAAAGACCAGTAGTAAAACGAAACAGTTTTGCCAGACAGTACCAAAATTAAAGCTTGTTGAGAAGATGTTATATTACTTATGGGTTTCAATGTTAGTGTAATAAAACTTAGTCTAGTTTTTGTAGCATCCACTGTGAATTTATTGTTTAATTCAAACTCAACTCAGCCAATTTTAACACTAACCCAAATAGACACCGCATCAATGAGAACATTTATTTGAGGGAGGCGTTTACGTATAATAAAATGGGAAAATTGGGAAGTGTCCCGGTTTTGAGGACTCGGAGGTTGGAATGTCTGAACTTCCTAAGTGATTTGAATGTTTTGCGCCTAAATTTCAACTATGCAGATTTATGTCACACTTAATAACATGCGAAAGGTAAGATTCAGACTTTAAGTGCAATTTTAGAAAAATTGTCAAATAAACAGCTATAAATTTGTAGTTGTTGTCTGTGAATGTTTTTATTACCACTGCGTTTAGTTTGCCGAAATTGGTCTGTTATTAAATACACTGCAATTCTTAAATTCCTTATGATATTTTTAATTGTAATTTCAGAGATCATTACATTATTATAAACGATCAGTCCAAATACACTACGTTTTAGTACTGTATTTGTATGGATTCTCGTTGTTTGTAGTCCACCATATTGGTTTTGCATTCTTTTGCACGCTATTGTCATGACAACTAATGATTTTTGCACTTCTCCACTGTACTATGTATATAGAATTGACAGGCACGCTTACAAAATGGCGATCATTCATTCTTTAATACACACAAAAAACATGTTTGACTTTAGAAAAGAAGCCTGACGAAATCATACTGCACATCGGAACAAATGACCTAAAGACCAGCAGCGCAAAGACGGTTGTCAAAGATATCATGGCGCTAAAAAATTTTGTAGTAAAAACTTCGCCTAATACCAAGGTAACTATATCCGAACGAATAGTAAGAACTGATGACGAAACACTTAATGATAAAATTAAACATATTGATACATTGTTGAGACAAAGTTGTGCTGTTGATAATACATCATTAATAGAACATTACGATATAAATAATGACTGTTTACATCAGTCTGGTGTCCATTTGAACAAAAAAGGAACATCATTTGCTTTGAGTGTAATCAAACATCTTTTTTAAATAATGATGCGATTCCAGATCTTAAGTGGCAGTCTCCCTAAGAGCGGTCCGTCAAACTTCGGGTCAGAAAACCAATTTCTCTGAAACTTGGCACATCAAAAGGGTTTGATACAGAACTAATAAAAATGGAATACTTTTTTGAAAATTTTTTTTCACTTTCCTAGAAGCTCGAACTTACTTGTGCCGAGCCGGTTCATTTTGTCATCCCTTTCAAGACCAAAATTTCACAATATTTAGGACTGCACCGTATCAAAACTAAACGCGCTGGCAAAACGTTTTATTCGCCATTTGTTTGATTCATCTTTACTTATAAAAACATACAAATGTCAAATTCACTGATTGCTTAGTTGATAAGATACCAGCCTTGAAAACCACCCCTCTGTGCAGGTTGCGGAAGTGCACTAAATTATAACAAAGTTCGGGAGCAAAATTAGCGTTTGTTCGACCGGAATGGAAATAAAAAATTACATCCATATGCAGATGATAACTTTATCTCCAAGGTTCTAAAGTCAAACCTTCGGGTATGCCGCTGTGTGCGAAGCAGCGAGAAGGTCAATTTGGTCAAGTCGGCACTTTGTTTACATAAAAGAACACTTTGTAATCCACACTGAAATTCATCAATTACTTGCCTAAAAACTGCTCTTGGCTCGAATTATTCCCAGAATTACTCTTTAAATTTACCTAAACAAAGATAATGAATGATTTACCCAAGTTTTTATGAAAATAGATTTAGAGTATTGCGACAAAACCAAATTTTAGCTAACTATGGAGCTGTTCTGCAAAGGAAACCCCGCACAGTCATAAGCACGCCGGTAGAGAGGACTGAGCAAAATGAATTATACTTTTTGATCTCTTTCATGTTGGTGAATAAACTCTGAATGTTTAGTATATACCAAAACAATTCATGGAAAATGTGATCCCATACTCTCTTGCCTATAACCGTGGGGTAAAATTGGTTTGTGTATTAAAGCCACCAATTCTTTACACCTAAAAAAATATCCTAAATTCTGAAACGAAAAACTATCGGCTATATGCAGTTAACTAACTTCATCAAGCAAACAGTAACAGCCAGAAATAACTTCTAGTCAGTGTTATAAGATTTGTAATGCGAGATCCGCGTGGTTTTAAAGGGCTTTGCATGACTGACGCTATAAAAAACATTTGCCGGGTGGTTAGCTGCCTGCTTATATATGTCGTGGAAAAATTTCACATAAAAGAACCGTCTCTTTAAAAAGGTTGGCAATAGCTTTGTCGGTTCTTTCTACGAGCTGTATGCCCCAAGCAACAAATGTCCAAATTACTCTTTGTTGTATGTATTTTAAGTCTTAGATGAATGATTATCCACATATTTTTCTTTACTATATACATATTACTTTATACTACGTATTTTAGGCCTGGCGATTTGAAAGGATCTAGGAGAGGAAGGATCTAGGAGAGGGTCTAGAAATCATTTTGTGGCAATACAAGGCTTTTGTATCTGTGCGTAGCGCTAGATACTATGCTATCAGGTCGACTAATTAGGGCCGTAAGTCTGCGAACAGGCAGTGAAAAATATGGCGCTAAGCTCTTTTACAGTAAATTGCATCAATGCTCCTGCCTTAGACAGACTGCAAATGTCATGGTCTTCATATTGGATGGGATGCTTCAATGCTATTTGGGAGAGAACTTCATGTACTTGTTCCTCCCTATTCTTCTCCAGTCTTGCCAGCTCTTCTTGAAGCAACTCCTCGTCTTCTTCGTCCATAGGATGTGCCCCAGCGGCACTCTCACCCGTCGTTCTCTGCGCGGCGGCTAGGCGGGAGAAAAACCCTTTGATCTGGACCTTCGTGAGCCACTCCTCTCGTGAAAATGCCCGCTGCCCATCTGCAATCTTGTCATTCCTCATGTCCACTGACACCTGGGCTGGATCTGCCTTCCTTCCTGTCCGCACGCCAATGTAAAAACAGGATTGAAGATATTGTTTAACCCGTTCAGAAAATAGGGTCCCACTACCTATGGGTTTCTGTAAGGCCCATCCAGACTTGCGGGGTTCTGATGCAGTCGTCACATCGCTTGATGCGGAGGGCTGATGCAGGGCTTCTTGGTTCACGGTCATGCTGGAAAACTTCAGCACCCACTCACGATGCAGCTTGTCATACGTGCTCTCTTGGCTTTTGCTGACAGGGGTATAATGGCCAAAGTTGACATGATCCTGGAAGGCATCATAGGAGTCGAACGACTGTGAACAGCCGGCCTCATTGCACTCGAATAGAGCTGCCTCAGGGTCCGCCTCCTTTTGTAACTGGACGACGCGAGGCTGCACATCCCAGAAATCCAGGTCCTCGCTGACAGGCTTGGCAGAAATGTTGCTGGCCGGAATTTGTACATGCAGTGTACTCCAAGACAATAGCTGACCTGACCCAACTTCAAAGGCTTTCCACATTCACAGCCCATTCTTTTCGTATGAAAAGTTGTGGAAACTGGTAAAGTTTAGAATCTTGTTGACCTTTATCTCTGCCGCGCCTTGAGAGCTGCAAATATGTCAGCTGCAGTCAGAACATCGTGGCCTTTGTTGCAGTACTGCCTTATCACGCCTTTTAGGGGACTGATGATTCGGTCGCACACATCTTTGCCAAATTGTGGTTCGGAAAAGTTGTACCTTTAAAATAAATCTTATTTTTCGATTCATAATTCAGGATCTCACTTCACTCATATACATTTCATTGATTCACTTAAAAGAGAAAGCAATTAGTGAGGAGGGGGGGGTGGGGTGGAGTGGGTGAAAACAAAACAAATATACATGCAAGCAAAACTGAAAGAAAAAAGAAAGAAAACCATGAACCACAAGAAAAAGCCATGAACCACAAGAGCCGGGACATCCGAAAAAATATTCGAATGAGACAGAAAAGTCCCCTCCTCCCCCATCACTTTTCTAATGGTCCATCCCTTAGATTAATTAATTTAATACGTTAATAGTTAATTATAATTACGGAAGAGTTGAAATAAAATAAGGAAGGAAACAGAACTTAATTAATTAATTGGTTAATTAATTAATTGCTTCCTAGCTTATTTATTTCAATCCCCTGCACTCCTGTAGCCTTTATACATATCTCATCACTTTGAGACCAGTATGGGAAAGACTCTGCCCCAGTGAAGCAATGAGGTTGTTGCTATGGTAGCACCCAGCCCCATCTGAATGCAGGAATGCCTTAGTGATGTGTGGGCGTATCGCTTTTATTTCTTTGACAAGATGCATGATGATAGCATAGGTATATATATATATATATATATACCTAAGATTTTGGTTTACGAAACACAAACAGTGCTCAATACCATATAGATAGAGTGTAATATAGTTTTTCGTTTTACCTCAAAAAACCACAACAGTTTGTTTCATCTGTATAGGAATCATCAGGTGGTGAATAATTTCGAAATTGTAGGTTGCTTTTATGCTATCGAAAGAATGTGCGGAATGTGTGTAGGCGAAACAATGCTTAGGTGAAACAATGCATGCTTGGGTCATTAGGTTTTGTTAACGACCTTGTTTACTCGAAACCGGTTTTTGTGACGACATTTGCCGAAAATTTCGCTTCTTTTATTGAGTAACTTGTCTTTGTTTATGTCTTTCAAAATGCAAAATTTTTCTTCCAAACATAAATTGCAGCGTTTTGATCCCCCTGTGTACGAAATAGCGTGTTTTAAAATTGACCATTTGATGGTATAATCCTGATTGTTTTCTTTTAATTTCCAAATATGTTTCTAAAGTTCCGTTTTGTTTGAGTCTTTTTTATGACGAAAAGATGAAGTGTGGTTAGCGTAACGTTCCTTAAATGTAGTCGCTGTCATACCAATGTAGTGTTTAGTGTTGTTCGTGTTGTTTGTTGTGACTGTTGCTTTGTAAATAATGTTGTTGATCATGCATTGTTTCGGTAGTGGGCAAGTGTTTTTGTTGTCGCAGTTACAGTTGTCAGTTTCTGTATTCTGTGATTGACTGTTCCTAATTATATGTGCGTTGTGTTTGGTGATTATAGACTTAACGTTGTTCATGCAACTGTAGCTTACTTTTAAAGTGTTTCTGTTAAAAATCTTGTGTAGTTTGTGCTGTAGCGGGAAGTGTTTGTCAATTAAACTTAAAGTGCCTATGACACAAAATTTCACCCCAAATGTTTATGATTGCATTGTAAAGATAACTTAAAATAACTTAATAATTTCTTTTATAGAATTTTGATAACTTGCTTCCTTTTCAAGCTATTCAACTTTGTTTCATATGCAAATATCACCGGAGTGACATCACATCGCATAATGACATTTTGAAAACGCAATATTTTACCTTGATAAAATATTTTTACAAACAAATACAGAGGGTTAATTACCAGTTATGAAATTAATACATATACAAGAGCAATTTTTAAGTTTTTTAGATCCGTATTCGTCAAGAAAACTATACTTTTCTGAAAACTCATTAAGCGATGTGATGTCACACCGGTGATATTTGCATATGAAACAAAGTTGAATATCTTGAAAAGGAAGCAAGTTACCAAAATTCTATAAAAGAAATTATTAAGTCATTTTAAGTGATCTTTACAATGCAACCATAAACCTTTGGGGTGAAATTTCGTGTCATAGGCACTTTAAGAAAATCGTGCACAAAATAGGGCGTTATATTGGTGTCAAGACATACTATACCCAATGAAGTCCCCAAACGTTCCATATATATATATATATATATATATATATATATATATATATATATATATATATATATATATATATATATATATATATATATATATATATATATTCATATATAAATGTTTGTTCGTCCAATTAGAGATGTGCAATGCGTTTGTTGATAGCAGTAGGTAATTGTCTTGTAATGCTTGGTGGATGGTTTGAGTGTTTGTTGATGTACAATGGATCGTCATTGGGTTTCGTGTATGGTTTGTGTTTTGCGTTGATCAGGACGAAAGTAACATCTAAAAAATTTACAACGTTCAACTTTACTTCGGCGGTGATTTTCACGTCAAATTGCTCGAACATTTTGTGTAGCTCTTTTCTAGTTTTGTCTAGTAAACGGGCGGATTTGCTTTTTATAATAGCCAAACCATCATCTCTATAAAGGCCGATGTTTTCCTTGCCAAACCTCTTACCTAAGTGATTTAAAATGAAAATGCCTACCAGCTCACAAATTTCAGCGCCGTCGAAACTACCCATAGTGACGTCAAATAAACTGTTGCTTCCGTCTTTTTTTGTCCATAATTTGCCGTTGCCGAAAAGTAGAGATTTTCTTGCATGTTTTATTATTGAAATATCGTTTTCGGTAATAGTAGTCAAATCTGAAGCCCAGGCCAATGCTTCATTTAAAAGTTTTTCGGAAATACCGGGTGGCCCAAAAAAAAGTACTCCTGTTTGATTCGTAATAACATCTAAACAAGTATAGCTTTTAAAGAGAAATAACTTGCATCAAATAGAGGAAGGACTAACTTAGACTTTGATATATTACAGTTGTATTTCACTTAAAAATTCATGGAGATATTAATCTTTAAATTCGGGAGGATATTTCTGGATGTGTCTGAAATATGCAAAATTCGGCGTATCAAATATTAATCAAGATTTGCCCGACTGAAACATGCACTATTACCAGTAAATAAATGACACTTGACAAATTGTTTATTATGAAACAAAGTATTATTATATCTACAAAATACAAGCAAGATTCATTCGTCCGAAATTCGCGTGTGTTTCTAGCACGAATACGTTTCCTTATTTCATGAGACCACTGCATCGCGAAGGATCGTCATGGATCGTTCGTAGTTCTGAATTAGGGCATGCTGTCACAATGGAATTGTGAAGCTCTTCTAACTTCTGCAACGTTCTGAAATCTTGTTAAGAACACCCAAACTCTTTTGCCGTTTCTTAATCTTGGCAAGTTCATGGAGTAACCTGAGAATTATATGAAACACAATCAAACCATACAACTCCATAAGACATAACAATTAAGCAACTCCCCAGAGACATGCAACATTTTTGGAACAAAACGTAACAAAATAGTAGCGTTGATACGGTGATGTGTATTTGCAAAAAGTAATATTATTTCCTTCAATAAAGAATATTCATCCTGCTCTAACCGAGAAATAATCTACTCAGTCTGTTTGAACCCATTAAAAACATAAAAAAATTAGGCTATTTAAGAATACGAAAAATTTAAGCGCCTGCCTTCTATGGTCAGTCTTTCATGTACATTTAAGTTTGCAAAGACCTAATATTAAATACTTGCATAATTTCGAACGTTCATATTTCAGGAAACAATGAGCTAAGACTTACATGTAAGATGTCTAAATCTACGCCATATCCCTTACAAACCTTAACGATAATTCGCTGAAATACAAGTTAGCCTAATATGTCATTAAGCAAACAAACGCTGGAGTTAATATTTGATATGCTGATTTTCGCTAATTTTAGACACATTCCAAAATATGCTCCCCATTTTTAACATTAATATATCCGTGAATTTTTAAGTTAAATACAACTGTAATATATCAAAATCTAAGTTAGTCCTTCCTCTATTTAATGCAAGTTACTTCTCTTTAAAAACTTTACTTGTTTAGAAGTTATTACGAATCAAACAGGAGTACTTTTTTTTGGGCCACCCGGTATATATATATATATATATATATATATATATATATATATATATATATATATATATATATATATATATATATATATATATATATATATACATATATATAATCATATATGAGTAGAGTGCTCGATATACCGAAGTATAGAGCTAATATAGATAAAGATAAAATAAACCTGGTTTACTAATTCATAAGATTTATTCACTACAAACTTGTTTCGTATGACAAGCAATGCTTGCCACACTCATCAGGTGAATTTAAATGTCGCGCTATGTTGTTGCCAAGGTTATATACTATATACATGTTTGACGTAAACGGAATGTTCAAGTATTAAATTACGTATCGATTACATATATATACAGATTATATTAAGTAAGGGACGGACCATTTGATTTTTCAATGGG